TCTTGTATAATTCCCATAATTGGTTCACTTGTGAAAAGTCCATTAATCACACTTGGGTTCAAATACTTCTTTAATACAGTTATTAAATCTTCTTTCGAATAATGGGGTTGTTTTATAACATGCCTGTGATATGTTGGAAAAGGGATTTTAAATTCGTATTTTTCCTGGTCGTCTACTAATATAAAGAGTTGATTCTTAAAAGCATTTATGGGACATTCTATAGCGGGTATTAAGTTATGCGACGAACTTTCAGAGCTATGTTGAGTCGCCGTCATGGAATTTATTTGTGGGGTCTGGATAATGCATCAGCGACTACATTGGTCTTGCCTGGTTGGTATTTTAATTCGTAATTGTATTCCTCTAGGATGGCTTTCCATCTTTTCATTTTGCTGTTTGTATTTTGCTGCTAAGAGCGAAGTCAGCGGTTGGTGGTCTGTGAAAATATTTATTTTTTCTTGACCCATACAGATAGTTTCTTAATGTGGTGAGTGCCCAAATTATCGCCAACATCTCTTTTTCATTCGTTGCGTAATGTTCTTCTGTATTTAATTATGTTATTTGCGATCTTGTGATAAGACTGCTCCAATTGCATATTCGGAAGCGTCGGTTGTTAAGTCAAAGTCTTTTTCAAAGTTTGGATGTGAGAGAATAATATCCTCTGAGGTCATTGAATTTTTTATTTTTTGAAATGAGTCTATTGCATCTTGATCCAAGAATATTCTTTTATTCTGATGTTTGTAACGCACAATAATATTGGTCCTATACCCACCTTAAAGTATACCAATCGGCTCAGAATCATTTTCTGAGTCGATTTAGCTATGTCCGTCCGTCTGTCCGTCCGTCCGTCCGTCCATGTAAACCTTGTAATCAAACTACAGGTCGCAATTTTGAAGATAATTCAATGAAATTTGGTACATGATCTTCTATTGTCCCAGGGACGAAGCCTATTGAAAATGGTTAAGATCGGTTTATTATTTCACCTAGCCCCCATACAACTGAACCCCCCAATAGGGCTTGTAATCCTTGTAATCAAACTACAGGTCGCAATTTTGGAGATAATTCAATGAAATTTGGCACATGATCTTTTATGGTATCGTGCACGAAGCCTATTGAAAATGGTTAACATCGGTCCATTATTTCACCTAGCCCCCATACAACTGAACCCGCGAATAGGGCTTTTAAAACTTGTAATCAAACTACAGGTCGCAATTTTGGAGATAATTCAATGAAATTTAACATATGATATTTTATGGTACCGTAGACGAAGCCTATTGAAAATGGCTACCATCGGTCCATTATTTCACCTAGCCCCCATACAACTGAACCCCCGAATAGGGCTTTTAAAACTTGTAATCAAACTACAGGTCGCAATTTTGGAGATAATTCAATGAAATTTGGCACATGATCTTTTATGGTACCGTAGACGAAGCCTATTGAAAATGGTTACCATCGGTTCATTATTTCAAGTTTATAATTATGTTTAATATACTGATATCTCGACAAAAAGCTGCAATAACCAAGTTGTATACAAGACTTGATGACCCCCACGCAATTCCATAATAATAGGTTCTCATATGACCCTAGCCCCTATGTAAAGCCCCCATCAAAATTTCACTTAATGTCCACAATTTTATTCAACAAGTAAACGTCTTAAGTATGTGTATATCTAAGGCAAGGTAAATTCAACTCAAATGCTTTATTATGGCAACTAAATCACATTAAATTTTTGTCAAAGGTGTAGGGTATTATATGGTCGGCCTCGCCCCGACTATAATTTCTTACTTGTTTATTTTGAAATGAGTCTATTGCATCTTGATCCAAGAATATTCTTTTATTTTGATGCGTTTTTAGAAACGCGTCCATCCTCCCCTCTTAAAAGGGATGTCAGGGGTTTAGCTAGTTTCGCATATCTCGTATAAACGACGATAATAACCTGACATACCAAGGAAACTTCTTAAATCTTTCAATGTTTTGGGTGGAGATATATTAACTATTGCCCTTACTTTATCGGGTGTGGTTTAATACCATTAATGTCTACAATAAATCCTAAAAATTCTATTTGTTGTTTTTGCAAATTCACATTTATCGGTTGAACTTTGAAGTTTGCAGATTCTAGTGTTCGGAAGACTTTATGTAAATTTTGAAAATGATCAGTTTCATTCTTGCCAAATATAATTATGTCATCTATATAGGACATAACAAATTTTGACTATGTGTTCCCTCAAAACATCAATCTAAAGTGCGTTGGAAAATTGAAGGAGAATTCTTCAATCCGAAGGAAGACGTACAAATTCAAATTTTCCATTATTAATGGAAAATGCAGTTTTCCTCAATATCACTTCCGTAAGTGGGATCTGATGAAAACCACTTTTAGATCTATAACGGAAAAATATTTGTTTTCCCCCTAGGTTTGATTAACTACCTCATTTATCTCCGGAATCGGATAACGGGTCTGGCACAGTAATTGAGTTCTAATTTCCTGTAATCTATTACCATTCTATATTTTTCTCTTCCTGATGCATCCATTTTTTTTGGAACGATCCAAACAGGTGCATTATATGGGGACTTTGATGGTCGAATTATTCCATCATTTAAAAGCTCAAGTACTTGTTTCTCTATTTCACTTTTTAGTGCCATAGGGTAGGGATATGTTTTTGAAAAGACTGGTGTATCAGTAGTTGTTCTAATTTCTCCCTGCACTCGAGAAGTGTAGGTTAATTTATGGTTAGGTTCTGTAAATAAATTCGGATACATGTGAATTGCTTCTTCTAGCTTTGCTATTGGGTTTTGTTCAAATGGTCGGTTCTTAGTTCAACCTTATTGATTGATTGGGAATATGCTGATAAATTTTAATTTTTTAACATTATCTATTAACATGTATTGTTCTTTTACATGGATTACTGCATTAAGTTCTTCTAAGCTGTCATGACCAAGAATGCCATGAAAAGATTTCAACGACGGCAAGATATAAAATTTTATTTTATGATTTGGGTATGTTGAAGATATTTACGAAAGTGTGGTGTGTAATTTGTATGTTGCCAGATATAGAAATCGCAAAAAAAGGGGTTTTCATTTAGAATTGGTTTGGTTACTAGAGAAGGCTGGATATAATTTTTATTAGAGCCAGTATCAATTAATATTTTTAATATTTGGCCATTCTCTGTTTTACATTTAAAATATGGAAGTGAAGAATGCGCTAATCTAAAAAATGGATATCTGATAAATCTTCGGTGTGGGTATTTCCCTGTTCGATTTCTTGTTGGTAATAATCTTGTATTGTAATCTTGAAGATTTTCGTCTTGAATCGCTTGTCGGTAATTATTTTCGTAACTATTGGAATTGTCATTTTGGTTATATGACATATCATTAGAAGGAAGTTCTTCATTGACAATTATGACATATCATTAGAAGGAAGTTCTTCATTGACAATGTGAAAATTTCTTTGCAATTTATTATGTGGCATTGGGGTGTTTAGAGATGAGGGTATAGGCCTTTTGCCATGAAATTGATTTGTTTGACGGGGTCTATTTTGGTAATTAATGTTTTTGGACTGAATAGAATGATCAATGTCCATTGGTTCGGGTCTTTGTGGCTTTGAAGCTGTAGGTCTTGATGGTGGGTTAAAAAAGGGTTGTCGATATGACCTTTGATTATTCTGATATTGAAATGTGTCCCATTGCCTTGCGTTACTAGGCCGTTGTAGGGTAAGTTCAGGATAAAATGGTGCTTTATTTAAATTAACATTTCGTTTTGGTTGAGGTGGTTGAAATTGTCTTTGTGGTTTAATATTATTGTGATTATAGGCGTATTCTGCTCTAAAGTTTTGGTTTTCTAATTTTAAGCATAAGTGCAATGCTTGTGGTAAATTTGATGGTTCGCGGATTCCTAATAATTTGGGTAATTCTCCATTGAGACCTCTTATAAAGGTATCTAAGGCTTTATCGCGATATGTCTGTGTCAGTAACATAGCTGATTCCTTGCCTATCTCCATACATCCTATTTTATTTAATATTAAGGACAGATGGGTATAAACCTCCTGATAAAAACCTTGTATAGAGTTTTTGCCTTGAATCAATGAAGTCATCTGATATTCTAGAGTACCTAAATCACGCTTATCCCATAGTGAAGTGTTAAGCACTTAACGATACTCTTCCAATTAAGAGGAGTATTATATGATTCTAGGGCTGCGTCTGCATTACCTATAATTTTGTTGCGGATAACGCTTAATATTCCGAAATATTTTGCAGTTCCTTTAAAATTATCATACATTTCCAGGACCCTTTCTACGCTTTTCCTCCAAGAATTAAACTCAGCAGGATTACCTGAAAATTCTCTCAAACATCGGACAATATCAGGAATCTTATCTAATTCACCTATGTTGTTCCTATGTCTTTCTTCTATTACTATATCTGATCCATTAGGTAAATCGTCATTTGAAATATTTAACGCTTGAATTGTTGCTCTAACTTGTTCTACGACAAAGGATGCTATTTGTTGCTGTAGTGCAGCATTCATTTGTGGTTGATTTTGGGGATTAATTGGTTGAGGAATTTGGTCTTGGTTAAGGGTGGGTGGTCTTATTAGGTTAGATGGATTTGCCATGATTAGGGTTATGAGATTACTTTTATTTATTGCAGACATGGTGTCAGCAAAAACGGAGTTTCAAAATTTGAAACAATTTATTTTGAATAGATTGCAAAATAATAAAACGAATCGTGTAGTTAAAATAAAAAAGGTTAATAACATTTAGGTTGTTAACTTATATTCTCATTAAACGTTTAATTAATACCAGTAAAAGATCGAAAAAGTAACCAAAAGTCTCATATTATAGTGTATAGGAAGGCCTCTTTACTGCCACTTTTTCCCGCTGCGAACTGCTGGCTGCCATGTTACCGCCAACTGCTATTGAAATAAATTAACTTTGTCATCTCATATTCATTTAATCCGGATTATCTACATGGCGTTGCTCTTGCGGAATGGGCTAATGGACTGTTAAAGTTGCTTTAAATGTGACATATGTAGATCTTCTTGATATTCTGTAAGTAATAATCATATGTATTTTCAAAAACCTTTTATTTGGGAAAATATACTAGAGATCAGGATGCACTAAGTTATTACATCATGCTAGAGATGTTTAGTTTTATTTTAAATGATTGTGTTAAATGTAAACATTAGAGGATAAATACTTGTTGACTTCCAAAATATTCCTTGTTATTTATCTACCTTTGGGGGTATAGTGATGGCTTTTTGTTATTGTTTTGAAAACGACTGCTAAAGTTGAAAAAACAAACTGGACAAATTATTCTGCCATGAAATAATCCATAATAGAAAAAAGTTGACGCCCATCGGTAGTGGCTAGTCGAAATTCGTATTCTATCAAGCAAAGAGCCAAAATATGGTGATTGCTACTTTGTTGCAATGTTTGGTTCCGGTACTAACCATTGTGGCTTTATGTCGACTATAGATCCCTTAGAGTTGTCACACTATATGAATCATTTAAATGAACCCTTCAAAGATTTATTGCGTCATAATATAAAGAAGAAAAACAACGTTTATTTGAAGGTATTCCTTCCGATCACTTGATATTCTTGCGTCTGTATCAAGAATGGAAAATAACTTTAGAAATGAGGAATTGGTTTTTGATTTTAATATAATTTCATTTTGAATGTCGTGTGCACCCTGTAATAGAGCTACTGAATAGAAGAAGAAGAAACTTAAACAGGTGGCAACACAATGAAAAAGGGATTTTTTTTTTGGAAAGAAGAAGATGAATAAAAACAAAAACAAATAGCTTTAGGAAAAAATTTTATGTAGGCAAACAAATTGCTGAACATTTGTTGAAGCCATATTGGTAACCGAGGTTTCTTGATGCCAAAAGGAAAAAATGTCGGTCCTTTTTGATTTTTGCTCGGAGAGAAGAAGAAGGTGGAGTCTGTGGCCTCATCATAAAAAAAAAAACTAAATTTTTGATTTTATTTTTTTATATAAATTAAATCAATTTTATTTAAAAAAAAGGAATTAATTAAACTTAAAACTAAACTTAAAGCTAAACTTAAAGCTAAACTTAAAACTAAGCCACTTCAACACCGACTCCATCCAACGAGGGAGAAGCTGTTTTCCAGCACCACCACGCCTGGGGTGCTCTGGTATAATTTTTGGTTTTCCGACCTTCTGTGAGTTTGCACCCGGACGACAAGACGGACCGGACGAGTGTCCTTTTTAAATAATTTTCTATAAAAAAAAGGGAAAGGTTAGACTAAATAAATATATATTAGTATTGCTAGGCTTACCTATCATTCATCGTATCGAATCCATTTCGTTTGCGTTTTTTTTCCAAACGTGCGCGAACAGGGTTGAGCTCAGGCCTCTTACAAAGTAACGCGTGATTTTGAGATCTCAGGTGGTCTTAGCCATATATATTTATAACAAAAAACCTGTGAAAACAAGCAAAATTATTTAAAAGGTGTGTTAACTTAAAATATATTTTCAATTACTTACCTGGTTTATCCGAACGGACTCTAATACGGACGGACAGGAAAGCCTCATCAGCCAAAAGAACTCTTCCCGCTCTATAATTGCCTCCCGTAAACCAGCTAGTTGCCGCAGAAAAAGAATTGCCAGATCCGGTTTATCCCCGAGCGAAATTATGAACTTTTGAAACGCAAGCATAAATTTGAGTGCATATAGTTAAACCTCAATCCAAACCTAAAACTAAAGCTAAATTTAAATTTAAATTCTAAATTTAAATTCTAAATTTAAATTCTAAATTTAAACCTAAATTCAAACCTAAACTAAAGCTAAATTTAAATCTAAACCTAAAGCTAAATTTAAACCTGAAACTAAAGCTAAATCTAAATTTTAAATTTTAAAACTTAAATTTAAACCTAAATCTAAAACTAAATTTAAATTCTAAATTTAAAGCCTAAATATAAAACTAAATCTAAATTGTAAAGCCTAGATCTGAACTTAAAATTAAAATTAAAACTAAACTAAATTTTAAATCTAATATTGTTAAAGTTTGTTTGAGAATAATTTCGATAATAAAATCCAACATTTATAATGTTTAAATGAAATTTTTTTTAAAAGTCTTAATCAATTAAAATGATCGGTTAAACAATATAAGCGGCGGTAAGTAGGGAAAGGAAAGTTTGCAGGGTAAATTTTGGGACATCCCTAATATTAGGATGTCATGGCGGGATTATCCAATCCCGAGTGGGAGGGTTTATCCTGGCACAACATCTGCCAGCCGTTATAGGTCGTAGGAACGTTTCATCAGGGAGACAGACAGAAACCTACTCGGTGCCCCTGTATATTTTATTTCGTTATTTCTTTTAGCTGGTATGGTTTTTATGTGTGTGTAGGTGTCTAGAGTGGTAGCAAGAACCACCCCCATCCGGCGAGCTCCAAGCCCGGCGAACGCGAGCATACCAGCGCCGCTACCACTCTGGCCATACTAGTTTCTTTTGTTTTGCACAACCACTACACTACATAAATGGCGCCCAACGTGGGGCCCGAGTAGGTCCATAGCCTGATCTTTTATTAGTTTATCTATTATCCTATTTAGTCATGACAACGTAAGTCCTGTTAGGTCATACCTAGAGTCCCTAATTGTTGCGACGTCGTCGGACGAAATAGTAAATTTAGTTTTTACTTTTCTCCATTTCAATAGATGGGAAGCTATAATTGTGCATGGTCAATATTGTACACACCTACGTAAGTCCCGGACAACAGGACAATTTTAGTCTAGCTCTCAGAATAGCTTTCCATAGCATATCTGAGAATGCTCAAGTTGTGAAGAAAGAATAGCTAAGGCCAGCCCCCTCTTTTACAATAGTCCATAGAGTATTTGTTTTAGAAACATGCGTTTTGTCCGCAGTGAAGTAGTAAGGGTAGTCCTACAGGTTCTAGGTTATCAAACCATCTTCTAGTTGCACCTTTAAAAGTTTTTCTGTGGGAAACAACTACTAAAATTTTATCCATTTTAGTTTTTCTTGTCTGCATCTCCTGAAACCAAAATAGAAAAGAAACAATTAGAAACGTATCTACGAACAATAATACATTTTTACATTACCTGCAAACTTTACTTTCCTGAAATACACCGCCGATAGTAAGATTTTATTTAATTTGAGATTTCAAGATTTATCTTTGGTTCTTTTGGATTTGGATTTTGAGTTTTTTTTTTTGTAGAACGTTTTAGCTTTGTCGTTACGAACGTTTTGGATTTAGTTTTTGAATCTTTACTTCCTTTCTTTAGAATTTATTTTTTTTTAGTTTTCCTTTGGGAAAGAGGAGGAATTTCTTCTAGTATTTTGCTTAATATTTATCATAGAGATAAATAGTTTTTTTTACTAGCGGTCTGTTATATATACGAATCTTCAATTTGATATTTTATTATATTTTGTTATTTTGGTTGAGTTTTTATTGTGGGGTCATTCCGCCAACTGGATTTCTATTCATTAGGAATGGTCTTAACTCGCTCGGCTAGGACTCGTGTACAAACTGAGCATAATAATATTTCCAATATGGAGAACATTACACGCACGACTGCAGGAACTGTAGTTCCTACGGCGCATCCGACGTATACGATTGCCAACACAGCTACGACAACTACTACCTCTGCATCGACCGTCATGCCGGCGGTCCAACAATTCATGTCTATGGCCCATGAACGTTCTGGGTTTTTAAATGAGTCTGCCATCTCCAACAGCACGATTACATCGCCTGGCTACAGCAGTATCACCGCCAGGAATGTGCAACAAGAGTTCCGAGCAAATGTCCCGCCGACAGCTCCTCAACCTGTTAACATCGTCACCACAGGAGGCGATATGTTTACTTTTGTGCGGGAGGAGTTGAAACGGCAAATACGGCAGTTGCGAACCGAATTGAAACAGGAATTCGGCAATGCTGCTGCTCCAGCTAATCCGCCGATATCGGTCCTTCAACCAACGGAGCCGCGAACATCTGTTCGGCAGCCAAATGCAGTGTTTAACCATCAGCCTGTAGAGCAGCAACCACCTGTTAGGCAAGGAAACAATTTAGTAACGAATCAACTACATCAACCTCAATTGTACATACCTGCTAGTAATTACCAGTTGCAAAATGATTTTCAACCAACCCAAGGACAAGCAGCTAACGCACAGCCGCATTATGTACCACCAAATGCGAACCCAGTTTTTCCGGCACCAATTCAATCCTCACAAGCTCCAAGTTGGCCTACTGACGGCGCATTCGCCGTTCAAAGAAAGGTGGATTTGTCCAAATGGGGTATTAAGTTCGACGGAACCTCGAAGTCCATGAGTGCTGAAGATTTCATTTTTCGAGTAGACGTTCTAAGACAGGACTACAACTGCGCGTTCAATGACGTCCTACGAGGTTTTCATCATCTGCTAGAAGGCCAGGCGCTGGACTGGTATTGGAACCTACGTAAGTTAAGGCCAATACAGTCCTGGGATGAGTTGGTGGGAGCATTCCTTACCCAGTTCCGAAGATTTGAGAACGAGTTCCAGTTACAAAAACAAATTATGGATCGTCGCCCAATGCCGATGGAAAGCTTTGAAAGTTTTTACAATGGTGTGATGAAGCTAAGAAATCAACAGCGAAATCCCTATTCAGAACGAGATCTAGTGGAGATTATGAAAAGTAATCTAAAGCCGTCATTGTCACATCTACTATTTTCCGTGACCACTTCTAGTCTCAATGAGTTCTGCCAACAGGCGAAAAGAGCTGAAAATTTAATCACCAGTCAGAGGCAGACTTTCCAGTCTAGACAACCCGCCCCAGCTCGAGTCCATGAACTCCAGTTTGGAGATGAAGTGCCTATACCAATCCTCGAAATCTACGCCTTAGCCACTAGTAGCCGGTATATTTGCTGGAATTGTAAGCAGCCAGGCCATAGTTTCGTGGATTGTCCTTCACCTAATAGACGCATATTTTGTTTTAGATGTGGTAGGGATGACGTAGTCACGCCTAAGTGCCCTAAATGTCAGGGAAACCTGAAGGGGAGCGAGTCCCAAACGGGGGAGACTCGTTCAACCCTAGCTTAATCCCGGTTGACCATGGTATCGAACACTTTAGACCGTCTAAAATTCTAGTTAATAATGCAAGCATAAAGCCTGCCGATGAACAACCTAAAGTTCATATAATTAAACCGCTTCATCAAAGAATTCGGGAATACGCTGAAGCAAGATCTAGGATTTTTGGTCAAGTATCGAATAGAATTCAGAAAGCTAGACTTAGGTATAAAATTAGAAAGAAGATCAAGAATGAAATTTTGTCTACGAGTTTGTATGAGGGCAAGGATGCTAGACTTTATCTAAAGATTAATATAAATGGTTGTGAGATTGAGGGTCTGTTAGACAGTGGAGCCACGGTGTCTTGCTTAGGTAAGGGCTGCATGGAGTTAGTGGAGGAATCCGGTCTTAAAGTTTTTAAATTTTTGTCCTATGTAAAAACTGCCGATGGCAGTCCACATAGAATTGTTGGACGAGTAAAAACCAAAGTTAATTTTAATAATTGTTCTAATGAAGTGACTCTATATCTAGTACCTACTTTAAATAGGCCTCTATTTTTAGGGGTAGATTTTATGAAAAGTTTCGGTCTGTTTCCTAGTATATGTAGCATTACAACTAACGGGGTTAATTTGTGTCCGGAGTCTGAGGAGACGAAGGATGTAACCAAAACCCATATTCTTACTCCTGGGCAAAAGGCGGCATTAGATGTGGTGGTAGCAAAATTCCCGTGTTTCTCAAAGAAGGGACTCGGTCAGACTTCCCTCGAAACCCATACAATCGATACCCGCGACGCGATCCCAGTGAAGGACAGGCATTATCCCGTCTCACCGGCTGTGCAGAAGTTAATGTATGCAGAGCTGGATAGGATGCTTGAGCTTGGGGTCATAGAGCAGAGCGAGAGTCCTTGGAGCCATCCGGTTACTCTCGTCCGTAGGGGCGAGAAGAACCGATTGTGTCTGGACGCTCGTAAGCTAAATGCCCTCACGGTCAAGGACGCCTATCCGCTGCCGCACATCGAAGGTCTGCTCAGTCGGTTAGGGGATACGTTCTTCATATCCAGCGTGGATCTCAAAGACGCGTTCTGGCAGATACCGTTAGATGCATCTAGTAGGGAGAAGACTGCATTCACGGTGCCGGGGCGACCACTTTACCATTTCACGGTCATGCCTTTCGGGTTGTGTAACGCAGCCCAAAGGTTATGTCGTCTGATGGACAAAGTGATCCCTTCAGCACTTCGTGATAGAGTTTTCGTCTATCTAGATGACCTTTTGATCGTATCACCAGACTTTGAGACTCACCTGGAGTTGCTGGATCGGGTATCGCATTGCCTGGATTCGGCGGGTCTGACCATCAACGTAGGGAAGTCGAAATTTTGCTTCAAAGAGTTGAAGTACCTAGGGTATATAGTAGGAGGAGGGAAGTTAAAACCTGACCCAGTTAAGATCGATACGATTTTAAAATATACCTACCCGAAAACCGCCAAACAGGTCCGAAGCTTTATGGGAGCTACGGGTTGGTATAGGCGCTTCATCCCCGACTACGCTACCATATCAACACCTATTTTTAACACCCTTAAGAAAGGAAAAGGTTTCAACTTTCCGGACGAAGCTAAGGAAGCCTTCGACAAGCTAAAGTCCGCCCTCACAACAGCACCAGTGCTTATGCATCCCGATTTCAACAGGCACTTTATGTCCAATGCGATGCATCAGATATAGGTTTGGGAGCAGTTCTGTTCCAGAAGGACGAAAACGACGGCGAACATCCAGTAGCCTTCTTCTCTCACAAATTGACCAGTGCACAGAAGAACTACTCGGTTACCGAGAGAGAGTGTTTGGCCGTAGTGATGGCCATTAAGAAATTCCGGCCTTATATAGAACTTTTGCCATTTACAGTCATCACGGACCATAGCAGCCTAAAATGGCTTATGTCCCACAAAGACCTCAGTGGCAGACTAGCCCGATGGAGCTTACATCTACAGGCCTTTACCATCGAACACCGGCCCGGATCCAAAAATATCGTTCCCGACACCTTGTCGAGATATGACATGGAGGAAGTATCTGTGGAGGTAAATAATTTAATAGATTTAGAGTCTGAGTATTTCAAAGGTCAAAGTTACCTGGACTTAATCGCCAAAATCAAGGAAAACGCTGAAAGCCTGCCTGATTTGAAGGTCGTGGATGACCTGGTTTATAAGCGGGTCCTCCCATATGACGGGGTGCCGCTAAACGAAGATTTTGCCTGGAAGTTATGGGTTCCACTAGAGCTTACTCAAGAAGTAATTGCGAAGTGCCACAATCCGCCTCAAGCCGCTCATGGAGGTTTTGGTAAAACGCTCCGAAGGTTAAGGGAATATTTCTACTGGCCCAACCAGAATGTTCAGGTCCGATCATTTGTGGCCAAATGCCAAACCTGTCGCGAGACAAAACCCGCGAATTCTATCCTAAGACCACCAATGGGAGCTGAATCTACAACGGAACGACCGTTCCAGAAGATCTTTATAGACTTTTTGGGGCCTTATCCACGGTCAAGAAACGGAAACGCTTACATATTCATCGTCCTAGACCACCTAACGAAATATGTACTGCTCAGAGCTATGCCGAAAGCTAACACGAAAAACGTCATTAAGTTTTTAATATCCGAAGTGTTCCACAAATTTGGTACACCTGAGACGATTTTGTCTGATAATGGCAAGCAGTTTATTAGTAAAGAGTTTCAGGATATGGTAACGAATTTTGGCGTAAAGCATGTAAAAACTGCCACACACTCGCCACAAGCCAACGCTTCGGAACGGGTTAACCAGTCCATCCTGTCCGCAATTCGTTCCTACCTACAGGAGGATCACACTGAGTGGGATAAGTACCTGTCCGAAATTGAATTTTCGCTGCGGTCGTCAGTCCAAACGTCTATTGGGGTTACGCCGTACTTCGCACTGTTCGGTATGAACATGATTTCGCACGGAAGTGTATATAAGCTTGCGAAGAAACTACAATGTCTTCATGATCCGGAAATCGACATAGTACCAAAACCCGTAAAAATGGACTTAGTACGGCACAAAATTCGTGAGAATCTGCACAAAGCATATTTGAAACACGAGAAGACATACAATACCCGTTGCCGTCAAGTCAAGTTTGTACCAGGTCAAGAGGTTTATCGCCGCAACTTTCAGCAAAGCGATTTCAAAAATAATTTTAATGCTAAACTAGCCAAGAAATTTTTAAAATGCCGAATTGTCAGACCTATTGGTAATAGCCTATACGAGGTTGAAGACCTTCAAGGAAAATCGTTGGGGGTATTTCATGCCAAAGATTTGAAACAATAGTTTCAACATCTTTGGTGGTTCTAGTCCCAACGATTATACCTACTCCTAGCTCGAACCAAAATGATAAAACCTATTTTATTTTCTGTATTTTGTATAAATGAGTTAGTAGATACTTTCTACACAAAACATTTTGTTAATGATATTTTGCCTTGATTATATTTAACACTTTGTTTTCTTTTTTAGTGAAAGCCTACGACCAGGGAAGTTCATTTGTGTTGTGGAACAGTAAACAGTCGTGATAGTTTGCCCGTTAACGAGTAGTTCGCCGAGTGCTCAACCAGACTAAATATATTAATTTTCGTTTATGACCACGTTGTGATCGTCAGACGCTAGTCATAGATGCAATTCCGTCATAGCACCCTTTGGAACCATGCGCTCAGGGTTAGGAATTATTAGTCATCTAAGCGCTGACTAAAATTTGGCAATTTGAATTGTCTGGGAGCAAAGCTGCGACGAGTATCCAACAAGCGTTTCGGGTAGAAACACGTGAATTACTCGTTAACAGGGAAATCTATCACTACGGTATGTTGTTCTCGCAACACGAACTATTCCTGGCAAAATAGTTTTTTCTAATGGAAACATTATGATCTTAACGATCACGAAATAAGGCAATATATCTATAGTTTGCTTTTAAATCTAATTTAAATACTAAATCTAATATTAGACTAAACAGAATAACTTAAAATTAGATGTTAATAATAGAAATTTAAAGTTTTCACTTACCGATTAAAATTTTGCGTTGATTGGAGAAATTTTCCTCTCGATCTTACAGTTGGCTGGTATTGTTGATTTTCTTCAGGAACCAAAATTCGATGATTCAACCTGTGAAAGGAAAAACAAAACAATTAGTATTTGGTCTAAAGTAAATTTTGATGATACAAGTCATTTTCAATATCTAATCATTTGATTTAGATAAGTTCAGTATTAGTTAGTACTTACGTTTTTAGAACAATAATTGGGTTCATATACCGCATTCAAGCTTCCGGTCCAGGTCCAATCTGAATTTATAACCTGTGGAAGAGAAATAAAATATAATTAGTTGAATTAATTTAATCTAGCTTTTTGTAATCTTCTAAAGGACAAACTGAATTCCAAGCTAAGATCAAATTATTTTATTTATTATTCCTTTTAGAAAATTACACTTTATATATATTTTCTTTTTTTTTTCAAAATAATTTTATTTTTGAATATTTTACTTTTATTTCCGGAGAAATTGTAAGGGGTATTTCTCGCCAAAGTCTCTAGACGTTAGTCTATGAGCTTTGGTGAACTTAGTCCTTACATTTCTACCAAATTCCTACGATTAAGTCGTGAATATGAAGAGAAAACTTAATATAAGTGAAATTATGTTTCAGTATATATTATTAGTTTTAGGTTTATTACTTACCTTTCCTGAACGGAAGCAGCAACCAAGGCAAATCCCAGGTCCAATTGAATTTTATAGCTGAAAGTAAAAGAAAATTTATAAAATTATTAATTTTTGCATTAAAGCAAAATATTTTAATCGGAGAAATAATTTTATTTTCACTTTTCTTTTATTTTATCCATTTAGGATTGGTTTGATTTTTTTAGAGTTTTCTTTATTAATTTTTCTTTTGTTTTGGTTACAAAAGGTTTTGGTCACGGTTCACTTCATTTTTGTTTACACAAATAATTTTATTTTTGAATATTTTTACTTTTATTTCCGGAGAAATTGTAAGGGGTATTTCTCGCCAAAGTCTCTAGACGTTAGTCTATGAGCTTTGGTGAACTTAGTCCTTACATTTCTACCAAATTCCTACGATTAAGTCGTGAATATGAAGAAAAAACTTAATATAAGTGAAATTATGTTTCGTTATATATTATTTAGTTTTAGGTTTATTACTTACCTTTCCTGAACGGAAGCAGCAACCAAGGCCAAATCCCAGGTCCAATTGAATTTTATTAGCTGAAAGTAAAAGAAAATTTTAAAAATTATTAATTTTGAATTAAAGCAAAAGATATTTTAATCGGAGAAATAATTTTATTTTTCACTTTTCTTTTATTTTATCCATTTAGGATTGGGTTTGATTTTTTTAGAGTTTTCTTATTAATTTTTCTTTTGTTTTGGTTACAAAGGTTTTGGTCACGGTTCACTTCATTTTTGTTTACACAAATAATTTTGTTTTAAATTTAACTGATTCACAAATTCTGATGGCCACTGTAAATTTTCAAACTTTAGTTTCCGTTGGTCTCGCTTATTAGATCCAGTCACTAAAAATTTTCACGTTTTTTTTTTACACCCACTGTATTTGAAGAAAAAAAAAATATTTCACTGTCACTTCACTTTTTGTTCTCACTGTATCTTCCGAATTTAATTTTAAATTGTTTTTGTTACTTTTCAGAAGCCACTCTAATTTCTTAAACAATTTTCTTTTTCCAACTTTTTTTTCATTAAATTAATTTTTTTGTCCGAACACTTTTGACACTCACTGTAAATTCCGATCAAATAATTTTTCTTTAACATTTTCACTTTTAATTATTCTACACGAAACGATTGTTAAAACTTTTTCAAGTATTTTTTTTTTTTTTTCCGTTTACTTTTTACACGCACTGTAAATTCCAAAATATTTTTTTACCCGAATTCACTTTTTCCAAAACCCGAACCGAAATTATTTTAAATTTATCAATTTTTTTTATTTTATTCGATTAAATTTTTTTTTTTACACGGCACTCACACTTTTGACGCACACTGTACCAAAATTTTTTTTTTTTTTGCACCGAACCACATTTTAATTTTCACTAAAGTCCACTTTTTATATTTCAAATATAATCCATTACACTTACCTTAAATTCCCGGAACCACCTTAATCCCTAGTCCACTGGCCCATCTGGAACAAAACCTGAAAAATTTAAAACAAAATTATTAGAAAATTTATATAAATATTTATAATAATTTCCACATTTTTTTTTTTACTTACCATTTCATTCTGCTTCGATCCGCCATCTTTCAGAATCGGCCATCAAGTTTTTTTATATAGGCCCAAGGCAGCCAACATGATCCCTGTAAAGAAAAGAAAAAATTTGGTTGTGTTAGTTAACAACACACTAATAAATTTTTCTATCACTATGGTTTTTGTTACTTACCTTATTTAAAATCCCCTATACGGCCATAGAAATCCACCAGAACCTGTAAAGAAACAAAGAAACAATTATTAATTGTTTTTAAAACTATTTAAATTAATACTTTTATTATTTTATTGTTATTAACAAAAGAATTACTTACCTCGTTGTATCCATTGATATTTTTTTTTTGTTTGGGTGCTTCTTCTTCACCCACGCGTAGTATTTTTCTTATTTGCCTCCTCCTCTTCCATTCATTCAAGCAGCTGTTCACAGTACGTCGCCGCCTGGCCAGTTTTTAACGGCGGTACAGAGTTGTACTTTCGTTCTCGAATGAATAAGGGTTGCCATAGTGCAAATTTTTTTGTATGGGAATAATGAAATACCCAAATCCCAGAAAAGTTTTAGGACATTAGGGTAGTTCAGAAATATTAGGGTGCTTTTTTCCCTCCCATCCTGTATCCAGGGATGGATAACAGGAGTGGTGGGGTTTGTCGTGTGCACCCTGTAATAGAGCTACTGAATAGAAGAAGAAGAAACTTAAACAGGTGGCAACACAATGAAAAAGGGATTTTTTTTTTTTTTGGAAAGAAGAAGATGAATAAAACAAAAACAAATAGCTTTAGGAAAAATTTATGTAGGCAAACAATTGCTGAAAATTGGTTGAAGCCATATTGGTAACCGAGGTTTCTAGATGCCAAAAGAAAAAAATGTCGGTCCTTTTTGATTTTTGCTCGGAGAGAAGAAGAAGGTGGAGTCTGTGGCCTCATCATAAAAAAAAACTAAATTTTTGATTTAATTTTTTTTATATAAATTAAATCAATTTTATTAAAAAAAAAAGAATTAATTAAACTTAAAGCTAAACTTAAAGCTAAACTTAAAACTAAACTTAAACTAAATTTTAAATTAAACAAAGCAAAACACAAACCTGCAAAGCCACTTCAACACCGACTCCATCCAACGAGGGAGAAGCTGTTTTCCAGCACCACCACGCCTGGGGTGCTCTGGTATAATTTTTGGTTTTCCGACCTTCTGTGAGTTTGCACCCCGGACGACAAGACGGACCGGACGAGTGTCCTTTTTAAATAATTTTCTATAAAAAAAAGGAAAGGTTAGACTAAATAAAATATATTAGTATTGCTAGGCTTACCTATCATTCATCGTATCGAATCCATTCCGTTTGCGTTTTTTTTTTCCAAACGTGCGCGAACAGGGTTGAGCTCAGGCCTCTTACAAAGTAACGCGTGATTTTGAGATCTCAGGTGGTCTTAGCCATATATATTTATAACAAAAAAAAAACCTGTGAAAACAAGCAAAATTATTTAAAAGGTGTGTTAACTTAAAATATATGTTCAATTATGTAGAACTTTTGCCATTTACAGTCATCACGGACCATAGCAGCCTAAAATGGCTTATGTCCCACAAAGACCTCAGTGGCAGACTAGCCCGATGGAGCTTACATCTACAGGCCTTTACCTTTACCATCGAACACCGGCCCGGATCCAAAAATATCGTTCCCGACACCCTGTCGAGATATGACATGGAGGAAGTATCTGTGGAGGTAAATAATTTAATAGATTTAGAGTCTGAGTATTTCAAAGGTCAAAGTTACCTGGACTTAATCGCCAAAATCAAGGAAAACGCTGAAAGTCTGCCTGATTTGAAGGTCGTGGATGACCTGGTTTATAAGCGGGTCCTCCCATATGACGGGGTGCCGCTAAACGAAGATTTTGCCTGGAAGTTATGGGTTCCACTAGAGCTTACGCAAGAAGTAATTGCGAAAGTGCCACAATCCGCCTCAAGCCGCTCATGGAGGTTTTGGTAAAACGCTCCGAAGGTTAAGGGAATATTTCTACTGGCCCAACCAGAATGTTCAGGTCCGATCATTTGTGGCCAAATGCCAAACCTGTCGCGAGACAAAACCCGCGAATTCTATCCTAAGACCACCAATGGGAGCTGAATCTACAACGGAACGACCGTTCCAGAAGATCTTTATAGACTTTTTGGGGCCTTATCCACGGTCAAGAAACGGAAACGCATACATATTCATCGTCCTAGACCACCTAACGAAATATGTACTGCTCAGAGCTATGCCGAAAGCTAACACGAAAAACGTCATTAAGTTTTTAATATCTGAAGTGTTCCACAAATTTGGTACACCTGAGACGATTTTGTCTGATAATGGCAAGCAGTTTACTAGTAAAGAGTTTCAGGATATGGTAATGAATTTTGGCGTAAAGCATGTAAAAACTGCCACACACTCGCCACAAGCCAACGCTTCGGAACGGGTTGACCAGTCCATCCTGTCCGCAATTCGTTCCTACCTACAGGAGGATCACACTGAGTGGGATAAGTACCTGTCCGAAATTGAATTTTCGCTGCGGTCGTCAGTCCAAACGTCTATTGGGGTTACGCCGTACTTCGCACTGTTCGGTATGAACATGATTTCGCACGGAAGTGTATATAAGCTTGCGAAGAAACTACAATGTCTTCATGATCCGGAAATCGACATAGTACCAAAACCCGTAAAAATGGACTTAGTACGGCACAAAATTCGTGAGAATCTGCACAAAGCATATTTGAAAAACGAGAAGACATACAATACTCGTTGCCGTCAAGTCAAGTTTGTACCAGGTCAAGAGGTTTATCGCCGCAACTTTCAGCAAAGCGATTTCAAAAATAATTTTAATGCTAAACTAGCCAAGAAATTTTTAAAATGCCGAATTGTCAGACCTATTGGTAATAGCCTATACGAGGTTGAAGACCTTCAAGGAAAATCGTTGGGGGTATTTCATGCCAAAGATTTGAAACAATAGTTTCAACATCTTTGGTGGTTCTAGTCCCAACGATTATACCTACTCCTAGCTCGAACCAAAATGATAAAACCTATTTTTTTTTTCTGTATTTTGTATAAATGAGTTAGTAGATACTTTCTACACAAAACATTTTGTTAATGATATTTTGCCTTGATTATATTTAACACTTTGTTTTCTTTTTTAGTGAAAGCCTACGACCAGGGAAGTTCATTTGTGTTGTGGAACAGTAAACAGTCGTGATAGTTTGCCCGTTAACGAGTAGTTCGCCGAGTGCTCAACCAGACTAAATATATTAATTTTCGTTTATGACCACGTTGTGATCGTCAGACGCTAGTCATAGATGCAATTCCGTCATAGCACCCTTTGGAACCATGCGCTCAGGGTTAGGAATTATTAGCTGACTAAAATTTGGCAATTTGAATTGTCTGGGAGCAAAGCTGCGACGAGTATCCAACAAGCGTTTCGGGTAGAAACACGTGAATTACTCGTTAACAGGGAAATCTATCACTACGGTATGTTGTTCTCACAACACGAACTATTCCTGGCAAAATAGTTTTTTCTAATGGAAAACATTATGATCTTAACGATCACGAAATAAGGCAATATATCTATAGTTTGCTTTTAAATCTAATTTAAATACTAATCTAATATTAGACTAAACAGAATAACTTAAAATTAGATGTTAATAATAGAAATTTAAAGTTTTCACTTACCGATTAAAATTTTCGTTGATTGGAGAAATTTTCCTCTCGATCTTACAGTTGGCTGGTATTGTTGATTTTCTTCAGGAACCAAAATTTGATGATTCAACCTGTAAAAGGAAAAACAAAACTATTAGTATTTGGTCTAAAGTAAATTTTGATGATACAAGTCATTTTCAATATCTAATCATTTGATTTAGATAAGTTCAGTATTAGTTAGTACTTACGTTTTAGAATAATAATTGGGGTCATATACCGCATTCAAGCTTCCGGTCCAGGTCCAATCTGAATTTATAACCTGTGGAAGAGAAATAAAATATAATTAGTTGAATTAATTTAATCTAGCTTTTTGTAATCTTCTAAAAGGACAAACTGAATTCCAAGCTCAAATCATTTTTATTTATTATTCCTTTTAGAAAATTACACTTTATATATATATTTTTCTTTTTTTTTCAAAATAATTTTATTTTTGAATATTTTTACTTTTATTTCCGGAGAAATTGTAAGGGGTATTTCTCGCCAAAGTCTCTAGACGTTAGTCTATGAGCTTTGGTGAACTTAGTCCTTACATTTCTACCAAATTCCTACGATTAAGTCGTGAATATGAAGAAAAAACTTAATATAAGTGAAATTATGTTTCGTTATATATTATTTAGTTTTAGGTTTATTACTTACCTTTCCTGAACGGAAGCAGCAACCAAGGCCAAATCCCAGGTCCAATTGAATTTTATTAGCTGAAAGTAAAAGAAAATTTATAAAATTATTAATTTTGAATTAAAGCAAAAGATATTTTAATCGGAGAAATAATTTTATTTTCACTTTTCTTTTATTTTATCCATTTAGGATTGGTTTGATTTTTTTTAGAGTTTTCTTTATTAATTTTTCTTTTGTTTTGGTTACAAAAGGTTTTGGTCACGGTTCACTTCATTTTTGTTTACACAAATAATTTTATTTTTGAATATTTTACTTTTATTTCCGGAGAAATTGTAAGGGGTATTTCTCGCCAAAGTCTCTAGACGTTAGTCTATGAGCTTTGGTGAACTTAGTCCTTACATTTCTACCAAATTCCTACGATTAAGTCGTGAATATGAAGAAAAAACTTAATATAAGTGAAATTATGTTTCGTTATATATTATTTAGTTTTAGGTTTATTACTTACTTTCCTGAACGGAAGCAGCAACCAAGGCCAAATCCCAGGTCCAATTGAATTTTATTAGCTGAAAGTAAAAGAAAATTTATAAAATTATTAATTTGAATTAAAGCAAAAGATATTTTAATCGGAGAAATAATTTTATTTTCACTTTTCTTTTATTTTATCCATTTAGGATTGGTTTGATTTTTTTAGAGTTTTCTTTATTAATTTTTCTTTTGTTTTGGTTACAAAAGGTTTTGGTCACGGTTCACTTCATTTTTGTTTACACAAATAATTTTGTTTTAAATTTAACTGATTCACAAATTCTGATGGCCACTGTAAATTTTCAAACTTTAGTTTCCGTTGGTCTCGCTTATTAGATCCAGTCACTAAAAATTTTCACGTTTTTTTTTTACACCCACTGTATTTGAAGAAAAAAAAAAAATATTTCACTGTCACTTCACTTTTTGTTCTCACTGTATCTTCCAAATTTAAATTTTAAATTTTTTTTGTCACTTTCAGAACCACTCTAATTTCTTAAACAATTTTCTTTTTTCCAATTTTTTTTCATTAAATTAATTTTTTTGTCCGAACACTTTTGACACTCACTGTAAATTCCGATCAAATAATTTTTCTTTAACATTTTCACTTTAATTATTCTACACGAAACGATTGTTAAAACTTTTTCAAGTACTTTTTTTCCGTTTACTTTTTACACGCACTGTAAATTCCAAAATATTTTTTTTTACCCGAATTCACTTTTTCCAAAACCCGAACCGAAATTATTTTAAATTTATAAATTTTTTTTATTTTATTCGATTAAATTTTTTTTTTACACGGCACTCACACTTTTGACGCACACTGTAACCAAAATTTTTTTTTTTTTTGCACCGAACCACATTTTAATTTTCACTAAAGTCCACTTTTTATATTTCAAATATAATCCATTACACTTACCTTAAATTCCCGGAACCACCTTAATCCCTAGTCCACTGGCCCATCTGGAACAAAACCTGAAAAATTTAAAACAAAATTATTAGAAAATTTTATATAAATATTTATAATAATTTCCACATTTTTTTTTTTACTTACCATTTCATTCTGCTTCGATCCGCCATCTTTCAGAATCGGCCATCAAGTTTTTTTTATATAGGCCCAAGGCAGCCAACATGATCCCTGTAAAGAAAAGAAAAAAATTTGGTTGTGTTAGTTAACAACACCACTAATAAATTTTTCTATCACTATGTTTTTGTTACTTACCTTATTTAAAATCCCCTTATACGGCCATAGAAATCCACCAGAACCTGTAAAGAAACAAAAGAAACAATTATTATATTGTTTTAAACTATTTAAATTAATACTTTTATTATTTTATTGTTATTAACAAAAGAATTACTTACCTCGTTGTATCCATTGATATTTTTTTGTTTGGGTGCTTCTTCTTCACCCCACGCGTAGTATTTTTCTTATTTGCCTCCTCCTCTTCCATTCATTCAAGCAGCTGTTCACAGTACGTCGCCGCCTGGCCAGTTTTTAACGGCGGTACAGAGTTGTACTTTCGTTCTCGAATGAATAAGGGTTGCCATAGTGCAAATTTTTTGTATGGGAATAATGAAATACCCAAAATCCCAGAAAAGTTTTAGGACATTAGGGTAGTTCAGAAATATTAGGGTGCTTTTTTCCCCTCCATCCTGTATCCAGGGATGGATAACAGGAGTGGTGGGGTTTGTCGTGTGCACCCTGTAATAGAGCTACTGAATAGAAGAAGAAGAAACTTAAACAGGTGGCAACACAATGAAAAAGGGATTTTTTTTTTTTTTGGAAAGAAGAAGATGAATAAAAACAAAAACAAATAGCTTTAGGAAAAAATTTTATGTAGGCAAACAAATTGCTGAAAATTGGTTGAAGCCATATTGGTAACCGAGGTTTCTAGATGCCAAAAGAAAAAAATGTCGGTCCTTTTTGATTTTTGCTCGGAGAGAAGAAGAAGGTGGAGTCTGTGGCCTCATCATAAAAAAAAACTAAATTTTTGATTTTATTTTTTTATATAAATTAAATCAATTTTATTAAAAAAAAAAGAATTAATTAAACTTAAAGCTAAACTTAAAGCTAAACTTAAAACTAAACTTAAAACTAAATTTTAAATTAAACAAAGCAAAACACAAACCTGCAAAGCCACTTCAACACCGACTCCATCCAACGAGGGAGAAGCTGTTTTCCAGCACCACCACGCCTGGGGTGCTCTGGTATAATTTTTGGTTTTCCGACCTTCTGTGAGTTTGCACCCGGACGACAAGACGGACCGGACGAGTGTCCTTTTTAAATAATTTTCTATAAAAAAAAGGAAAGGTTAGACTAAATAAATATATATTAGTATTGCTAGGCTTACCTATCATTCATCGTATCGAATCCATTCCGTTTGCGTTTTTTTTTTCCAAACGTGCGCGAACAGGGTTGAGCTCAGGCCTCTTACAAAGTAACGCGTGATTTTGAGATCTCAGGTGGTCTTAGCCATATATATTTATAACAAAAAAAAACCTGTGAAAACAAGCAAAATTATTTAAAAGGTGTGTTAACTTAAAATATATGTTCAATTATGTACCTGGTTTACCCGAACGGACCCTAATACGGACGGACAGGAAAGCCTCATCAGCCAAAAGAACTCTTCCCGCTCTATAATTGCCTCCCGTAAACCAGCTAGTTGCCGCAGAAAAAGAATTGCCAGATCCGGTTTATCCCCGAGCGAAATTATGAACTTTTGAAACGCAAGCATAAATTTGAGTGCATATAGTTAAACCTCAATCCAAACCTAAAACTAAAGCTAAATTTAAATTTAAATTCTAAATTTAAACCTAAATTCAAACCTAAAACTAAAGCTAAATTTAAATCTAAACCTAAAGCTAAATTTAAATTTAAACCTAAAACTAAAGCTAAATCTAAATTTTAAATTTTAAAACTTAAATTTAAACCTAAATCTAAAACTAAAGCTAAATTTAAATTCTAAATTTAAAGCCTAGATATAAAACTAAATCTAAATTGTAAAGCCTAGATCTGAACTTAAAATTAAAATTAAACTAAATTTTAAATCTAATATTGCACAGTGGGGAAGAATGGAAATTTTTTGGAAATAAATCTGGCATTTCTAAACGGCTGATCCGATCGGGATAAAATTTGGCGCGAGCGTAGCCAAGGAGTATTCGAGTTTAAGTTTTGAAGATGAACCCTGCAGATGCCCCAGGGACGGCGCTGTGGCGGCTCAAAGTAGGGTACCTACGACATGTAAAATTTTTAAACTCGTGCCATTTTTTTGTTTTTCACCCAAATACAAAGATTTTTATATTTTGTGAGAGCGCTCGACGAGATCTTGAAAAAACATGCTTGGACATACTACTTATCTCTTATAATATCCGAGTTATAGGCATTTAAAAATTTAGTGATACAAAATTTACCATACCTTGGTCCGCCTTTTTTTGAATACCGGGCGTAATTTTGGACCAAACATGGACTCAATTTTTCTTGTTAGTTAGACAACAAAATTTCCAATAATATACAAAAATTTCAGATCAATATTGTTTACAGATCCAAAAATATACGTTTTTTAATTTAAAAATTCAAAAAATTTAGATTTTTGGCGTTTTTTTGCCAAAAATGTGTCTTAACTCTTTTATTAATAAAATAAAATTTTTATTAAGAACATATAACAATTTTATAGTTTTCTAAAAGGTATCTTTACGCAGAACGCTTTGGCGTAAAAAACTTGTCCTATTTTTTGAAAATGTTGCCACTGCGTCCTTCCGAATATGACCTATTTTTTATCAAAACTTCAACTTTGGCGACATGTTCTAAAATCCCAAAGCTGGGAATCAGAAAACTGAAAGCCAGTTTTGGAAAACCTCAATATGTTTTCTATTTACTACTCCAAAGTATTTTCCCAGCCCTGAAAGAAATGTGGACCCTATGGGCAAAAAAAGTAAAAAATCCCATTTTTGGGATTTTCATTCCTATTTTTGGGAATTGCGGGATGCCCTTTGACCTTTTCAATTTTTTTTTAAATATTCTTCATTCATATCTTATTTGAAATGACAAATTTAACAAGCGTTGAAAATTTCATTGAGTTTTGTTCATAAATAAAGATTTTGTCATATATTACATATTTGTTTAATTTCTAAAACTATGATTTATATCAAAAATTTTAATAGGATCGCAGATAGCTACAACAATTTAGTCCATATTTAGCCCTTAATATCATTTTTTAGTTAGATATGGAAATTCTCGACCCTTTACAAAAAATTTCAAGCCAATATCTCAATTACATTCAAAATATGTTCATTTAAACCTGTGTCCTTTAATTTCATCTTTTTCATATTTTAGTATTAAGTATGACAGCACATATTTAAATCTTATATTTACCTATTTTCTATTTGTTTGCTTATCCTTATAATTGAAAGGTCCTATTATGCTTAAATTTTCAAAAATTTATAACTATTTTTTACCTAAATTTTTTCGACAGATCATTTCGTTCTGTTTCGTTTATGATCATGTAGGTAAAAATATACATGTAATGATAATTTCGACTCATTCACTAATAAGAAATATCAATGACTGAATTACAGGTTATAGTAATATAGTCCTAAATGTTAATAGGTAGACAATTCGTAATTTTTTACTTTGGAATACCTGTATCGGAAATGACAAGAATTGGTATATAAGTAAACTTCTCAGATTTTAAGTACCATATTTAATAAATCTACAATGAAGATTACATTAAATTACGAAGAGTTGTGTTCCGTTTTATGGAGTATATCTTCAAAAGGGCCAGAATGAATTGAAGACATTTCAAATTATATAAAAACTACATATAGTAGAAAAGTAGACAAAACAGGCATATCAAAAATTGAAAACTTTTTAAAACTTTTTGATGTAAAAAGTAAGTCTGTGGATGGAAATCAAAAGAAATTTCGATTAAAATTTTGTAGTTGGATGGAAACTACTACGGAAATCTCAACTTACAACACATCAACAGGAGCGCCTTGCAAGTCATACGAAGACTTATGTTCAAGGTAAAAAAAAAGAGGGTCACACAAAAACTTTTTTCAATCTCAAATGAGGAAATTGCTGATACATTTAACGAAATGCTGAAAAAGGAAAACCAACATATGGATGTCGTACATATTGCAACTATTCTTCCTAATGCATCACCAAAACGACTTAAGCGAATTGTGGAAAGTATACCAACTCCAACATCATAATCAAATTTTACTGAAGAGGACAATAGCGCTTATGTTGGAACTGGGTCTCAGTCGAAATAAGTACCAAATATTAAGGAAAGCTCTGCATGAAAAAGGACACAATATATTACCATCATACAAGGCGATCCAGGAAAAAAAAAACAAACTATCGTACTAAATCAACAAAAAATAATGAAGAATTGAAAGAACTGAGAGCTGCGGAAA